AGGAGATGAGTGTGTGTGTGTGTGTGTGTGTGTGTGTGTGTGTGTGTGTGATCATCTCAAACTCCATCGACTCTCATCTGCTGCTCAGGTAACACACATTCACTCTCACTGTGTGTCTGAGCGTCTCTGCATGGGCTGCTCTCTGACTGTTTGAGTGTGTGTTTAACCTCATGTGAACGAATGACCCACGATGCCTCTGGCCGGAGACGAGCTGGTCTGCCCCAAGTTCCAGCCCAACATCTTCGACTCCACCCGCTGCCACGACTGCTTGCGCCAGAAACACCTGCACCACACCTGTGCCGAGCGCGCTCCCGAGCAGAGCGCCCCTGCGGCCGCGCGCAGCGACGACAAGGACACCAGCGCCAAGGTGAGACTGCAACTCCTCCATTACTAGAAACACAGGTGCTCAGAGCCGCAGGAGAGAAACCAGTGGTGTGATTCACTCTGCTGTGTGTGTTTAGAGCTTATTTAGTTCTCTCAGTATCATATATAGCGACAGATGCGCTCAGACTGACTGGAATCATCAACTGTGTGATGCTTTAACTGATTAAAGTCATTAAAGTAATATAAGAGAGTGGATGTGTGTGTGTGTGTGTGTGTGTGCGCGCATTCTCATTACTAATGAATGAAGCAGGATCATTTTCTTCTCTTTGTGGCATCAGAGTAAGACAATACATTCACAGATAGACGTCAACCTGCTGAGATCTGAACTAAACCTGAAACGGTTCACCCAAACTTGAAATTATTTCTGTAACAGAGTGAAAGGCGCATAATGATCACTTTATAAAACAGAAAAAGAAAGTGGTGAGTGTTTAGCACCATCCAGCACCATGTGGTTACTATGTGGTTGCTAGGGTGTTCTGAGCCATATTTACCAGGTTACCAGTTCAGATGGTTGGTAGGATCATCTGGGTTGTTGCTAGGGTGTTTGGATTAGTTGCTAGGTTCTGTTGAGTCTTTGAGTTTTGGGTGGTTGCTAGGGTGTTTGGATTACTTGCCAGATTCTGTTGAGTGGTTACTCAGGGTTCTGGGTGGTTGCTAGGGTGTTTGGATTAGTTGCTAGGTTCTAATGGGTGGTCTTCTGGGTGGTTGTTGGGGCTTTATAAGAGGTTGCTATGGTGTTGTTTGTTGCTAGGTGTTTTCTTCCTGTCCAGTGTGAAGTGAGTCCAGCAGTCTGAGTCTCTGTGATCTTCTAGTCTGCAGATGTGAGAGAGTGTGTTTCAACGCACACTCAGCTTGAATATTTACTGCTAGCGGTTTCAGCATGGCACCATGAGCTCTAGTACTAGTGATGACTGATCTAACAATACTAATGAAACTGACTTTGAGCCACTGGAGATGTACATTAGTTAAAAGTGCCAGTCAGAAAAGAGTTATGGTATAATCATGTTTAAGATCTCAGAATATCTAACTGTTCATCTGTATTTGATGAATACTGATGTTTCAGCTGATGATTCTTCACTGATCTGAAATAATGATGCAGCGAAAAGCCACAAACCAGACCGAGTTACAGCTGTGAAACCCTAAACCAGTACAGTGTGTGTGTGTGTGTGTGTGTGAGAGAGAGATATTGTATGTGAAGTGCCATTTTAGTTGCTTAATTTCCTCAGAAATATCTAGTTGACAAGCCTGAAACATGGTATAACTTCATTTGGAATGAGAAATATCTATAAGTAATGAAGAACTGTGTTATTTTGTTATAAATGTACATGATCCATGGCATTACTGATGTAGAAACCCAGCATTAGTATAAGACATGGTCACGGTCGATAAATCTTTAAAAGTGCAACATCCTTCTATTCTGATGCCTCAGTGTTCCATTAGAACACAGATCAGTTCAGTTGTATGTGCTGCTCTCTCATTGGCCGCCTGTGTTCCATCCACCAATCAGGATGACTCAGATGTGCTGTCAGTGGTGAGCAGCTACTGTGATGTCAGCAGAGTGGGGCGGGGCTTTGAGGACGGCTCCCTCTGCATCTTGAGTCCGGACTGTGACCTCTACCTATGTGACGGAGACGACGACCAAAGCTCGGACAGGTAAGAATGCTTAAGAGCCTCCACTCGTTATTTTCCACTTGTAAATCTGATTGGCATGTTGAGTCTGTGCTGTTGTTGTAGTGTTTATCTTCCATTAAATGTGACTTTAATTGCATACTTTGCTCTAAGCATGTGTTTTGGGGCTGAGATCCATCCATTTAAGTTGTAGCGTCATATCCTATTCTTCCCTTATATATCTTTAATCCCAGTCAGGGTGACGATTCCATCTACAGTAGCTCTGCTGGAACAGAGGAATACTCCAGCCTCCTTCATCATCCTTCATCTTGCCATAGAATGACCCGCTTGGATCATCCACCGTACCGTGCGAGCCCCCGAGGATGGACGGAGGTGTCCCAGAGTCGCCGTGATGGTCTTGGGCAGTTCGGTGTTTCTCACGGTGAGGAAAACACCAATATCTGGTTACCAATTGAGCAGCTCGTGGTGTTGTTCAGATGGTTAGAGTGGCAGTTTGAGGTGTCAGGTGGTGTTGGGTTGCACCAGGCTTTTCCTGAGCACTGTGTCACGGTGCACGAGCGCAGTATCATTTCACATATTAACACAGGTCATGATCTTGTCTCTCTGTCCGCAGGCAGCCAGAAGGAACGGAGGGAACGGGAGAGTGGATATTTCTCTCTGGGAAGGGCTGCGGGCAGCAGAGCTTTCCGTGATCAAAGCCCTCCCTATAGGCATTCAGAAAGAGGACATCCCCTGCCAAGCAACAAAAGCCCCGAACCCAAAGCCACCATTCCATTTCGAAACCCGGATCTGGGCGTCGCTTCCGAAAGGAGGACCTCTGAGTT